GCTCGTCGCGGACGGTCAGGCTGTCAGTTGTTGCAGGTGCCCCCATTGTTCAGTAGTGGTCAAAGTGTCTGGTCAAGAGCAGACATAGATCCGAACGCGTCTTCAAGTAGGTCGGTCTGCATTCTCTCCTTGGGGCACTCGGGAAGGAATAGCAGCCTAACTCGCAATCACATGAATGTTTCCCCAATGGCTCCGGCGATAACGGGTCTAGTCAAAGTAGATAAGCGCCGTTATCGCCGATTACAACGTTCGTCTGAAAAGCGGAAATAATCTTTACATCTCCACTGCTATCGATTGCACAATGCCTGAAACCAAGAACAAAGTCTGCCTGATGTATGTCTGACTGTGATGAAATCGACCACGAAATGACTTTACATCGAATCTTCTCCTTCACAGCGTCCATGATGGCTGGGGCATATCAGATATCGAGAAAGGCAACGCTGTCCACGCTGGCACTACCACAAACATGGATAAGATTGCAAAGGAACACTCTTATCGCACACTTGCTGCTCATGGAACGGCCGTGGGCCTCAATGAAGGTCTCATGGGAAACTCAGAGGTTGGGTACGTCCTAGCTCATTGCATCATAGATCAGAACTCATTCGAACATCTAATCTCATCTGACTCAGGCATCTAAACATTGGAGCGGGACGTATTGTCTGGCAGGACATTGTTCGGATTGATGTTTCTATCAAGAAGCGTCAATTTCATTCGACGGACAAAATTGTGGAGTCTTGCAAACATGCAAAAGATCACTCTGGCCGACTCCATCTCCTCGGTCTCGTGAGCGACGGCGGGGTTCATTCACATATCCGCCATCTTTTCGCTTTGTTAGAAACAGCCCAGGAGATCGGGGTGCCAGAAGTTTACATTCATTTCTTCGGCGATGGGCGAGATACTGCCCCCAAATCTGCAGCTGGATACCTCAAGGATCTTCTCGAGTTCACCACCTCCAAGAAAGTGGGACAAATTGCGACGGTGGTAGGCCGCTACTATGCCATGGACAGAGACAAGCGCTGGGAGAGAGTGAAAGTCGCGATCGACGGCCTGGTACAAGGAGAAGGAGAGGAAAGTGATGACCCTGTGAAAACAATTGAAAAAAGGTATGAGAATGGCGAAACGGATGAATTCCTCAAACCGATCATCGTTGGTGGGGCGGATCGTCGTATCAAAGGTGATCTCGAATATTCTCGCGCAGCTATCCGTTGTTTACCGACATTCTCTCGTAGATGGGGACACCCTGTTCTTTTTCAACTATCGCTCTGACAGGATGCGTGAAATCGTGTCAGTCTTTGGATTACCCGATAAACCTATGGAAGTCAAAATCCCTGAAAATCTGGTAAGGTCTCAGATTGCGACGCCGTTCAGACTTTCCGAATATTTTCCTTTCAGCACATCACGACTATGTCTAGGTACAACACTGACTTCACGTTCCCGATCGCTTTCCCACCTCAGGGTATGACAAACGTTCTCGCGGAATGGCTAAGCAAGCAAGGGGTAAAGCAAGCCCACATCGCCGGTTGGTCTTCCACAACATGTACAGAGTTGCCAGCTCATGATAAATTTAGAGACCGAAAAGTATGCCCATGTCACCTTTTTTTTCAATGGCGGGATAGAGAAACAATTTGAAAACGAAGAACGCCACATGATTTCTTCACCCAAGGTGCCCACATACGACAAGCAACCTGAAATGAGTGTCCACGGAGTCGCAGAAAAAGTTGCCGAAGTGGTGAAGAAAGGAGAACACGAGTTTGTCATGTGCAACTTCGCACCTCCAGACATGGTAAGTCAGGGCAGAGAAGCCCACGCCACAGAAGGCCTAACGTCGCTTAGGTAGGGCATACCGGCGTTTATGATGCCGCAGTAAAAGCAATTACCGAGACTGACCGAGCCGTGGGCACGGTTTATCAGGCGTGCCAGGAGGCAGGCTATATTCTCTTGATAACTGCCGACCATGGCAATGCCGAGCAAATGATCAATCCTGAGACGGGTGCCCCCCATACCGCCCATACGACGAACCCCGTACCTTTCATCATGACTGGTGACCCGAAGAAACTAGCCTTCACTAAGGATCACGAGGGTGAAGAGGAGGGAGCTCTGTGCGACGTTGCACCGACCATCCTTGACCTATTGGGGCTTCCTAAAACCGATGGTTAGGCTTCTCACCAATGCGATAAATCCGTTATTGATCGATCGTGGATCTAGATATGAGTGGTCGTTCTCTCCTATCACAGGAATAAGGGTCATCGTTTCCGAGAAAAGCGCAAAGGCGATAAATAGACGAACGAACGAAGCTTGATAAGTCACGGCAGGGGAGTACTATCTTCCCGTTCATTACACCCGGCAGGTAGCATAAGGAATAGATGTGCCCATCGCATGGATCGTACCTGCAACTAGCTAGCAAGAGTCGAATCGCTGAAAGTTGAATCATTTCAAATCCACTGGACTTCCCGAAGGTGGTCGAATATCCCTGAGGCTCTGGTTTTTGAGTGGCTCTGGACTCTGGTTGGAATGTATGGCGGTGTTACAGGTGTGGGAATAGACCGTGTCTTTTGCAAAGTCTGGACGTCTCGCCCAGTCACCGTCCCATTGTTGAATAAAAAATCATGTATGGTTCATCTAGGCTTTATTTCAGTTCTCGTTTCTAGGTCTCATTATGACGACAGAGCATATGCAACCCAAGATGAGACATCACTACTGCTTCGATCCGGCAAATTACGATCGGCCGGACGCAGAACCATTATTCCAGTATATGCAATGGTCGCATCTGGAAGTACTCTCCTGGGTAACACGTTGGTCCTCCTTGGCATAGAACTTAGAGACACGGTGAGAAAGGCTTCTTCGAAGACCCCATTCGTAAATCGATGATCCTACCTGTTTGCAGACATTCTTGCACACGTTGGGGCAAGGATTAGGATGCAAAGGACTGAAAATGCAAGTCGTTAGGTTGCACGAGGTCGTCCCTTGTTGAGCAATGCTAATGATGTGCTAGCAGAGTACGTGAAGTGCAGATCTTCGGTAAAGGAGCATGTTAATTCACCCCACAAGAATACTTCACGGCGGACCTGACAGATAGGAATGTGAGACTCTGATACTCAAGGGAACAAAGAAATCAGCACACATGATACTATTGCACATAGAGAAGGCTGAAACCGAGATGTGACTGCAGACGGGCTTAGTGTTTGAGTCCTTGCAAGGAAGAGGAAGGTTTACCTGGGGATGCGGGGTGTTGACGTCCAAGCAGACAATTTGATGGATAGGCAGACTCGATTGTAGATCCAGCAAGGAGGGTGTTCGACATTTTGCGACTATCAGCACACTCTTATATAGTGTAAGTATCTTGTCAGTGTAAGTGGCACTAAGAAACAAGATCCTGGAAGCCGGCCAGGGCGGTCCAAGGGACAAAAAATCAATGCATACGGAGCTCAAGGCTACCTCGGTAGTTGATAGTGCGCTACCGGTATATTGGAGTATCATGCAAGCAAGAAGTTTGATACTTGGTTCGATAACAAATGAACCAGATCTGAGTTTGCGACGGTCATCGCCGAAACTGCTAGTATTCCAGATCTCCGCTCTGTGCTCCGAGATCGTATAGTCTCAGGCTTCCCGAGCCTCGTCCTCAACCAATTGCAATGAGCTCTAGTACTGATCTTTGCCTCACTTGTTCATGTTCTATCAGGAACCACAGTCCCCAATCTGTCCCATTCAATACGTCGTGCTGTCATCGCAGCATATGCCAGAGCTGTCTGGCAAACAATCCACGGCTCCGCCTCTACAATCCGTGCCTGTTTTGCCTTGGTGGCGTTGACGCTGTAAAAACGCCAAATTTTCAACCATTTTCCGCGGTCGCAGAAACTTCTGAGAATGACGTTTTCATCCTCGGGGACCTGGAAGATGAAGAGCCGACGTCCGTTCAACAGGAGATCGTGCAGGGACAGATAGACATCCCTCGGTCGCATCCCGATAGCACGTCGATCGTCCCTTTGTTGAAAGCGTCGGGGCCTACAACTTTCTCGGAGTCAGCGCCGTCCGAGCCTGTCGGCGGTGAGACGGACGCCGCAGCACGGACAGAAAGCAACACGATAGCTTTACCAAATGGTCTGATGTCTCGATACTACATCAAGCCTCTTGACACTTTGGTCGGCATATCTCTAAAATTCTCGATCGACGTGCGTTTTAGCGCAAGCATGTGCGCATCAACTATATGTAATGCTCATGATTTTTGAAACAGGGTCGAAAGTTGTGCGCACTTAATCATCTGCCTAGCACTACTCTCACAACAACGCCCCATCTTCTCCATACTAGGACTTTCATTGACATTCCGTATGCGGGACATCCATTACCCCCTCCCCCACCGGAATTATTGCAGCAGCGAGAGCGCGAACGAGCTGTCAAGAGACTCCAGCTCGTCACTAAGGAGAGTGACCTTGGTGTCGCCCAGTCCTATGTAGCACTGGCCGATCTTGCCGATCCTTTAGAAATGAAATCCAAAGAACAAGGCACACATCATGTCACAAGTAAGCAAAACGATGCCGTAGCGGCTTATCTTGAAGATGAAGATTGGGAGAACAGCATGCGTAAGCAAGGGGTGAAGCCAAGTATCCAGCGATTCCGGCGGGCGGGTTGATCACATGGATCCCTATTACACAGTTCAGATGATTGGGTAGAAATCCTGTGGATACCTCTCTGATCAACCCGTGAATCCTGGGCCTGTTTAGAACTCGAACTTCCGAGCCCGTCCTGACTCGCAATACAATTGACATGCCGAAGAAACGAACACGGTTGAGAGGGCTGCAGTCACGGAACTCCTAAAGACAAGTAATAGGGAAGAAAGGTTTTTGTCTGAGCACGGGGTCGAACGCGTCGCCCAAACCAAGCGCGAATGAAGCTCGGCTTCATCCGGGCCGTCGAGGAAAAAAATGCTGTGGTTTGATCAAGGTTTCTGATAATTGAGGAACTCATTTCCCAAGAGAAAAATGAAAAATTAAAGAGCAAAAGAATGATTGAGCTGAGGGTTGAACTCAGAACCTTCTGTGTTATACTGTTAGACAGAAATCATAACCGCTAGACCACTCAACCGATATGAGGTCCTCTCACAAAATAATATATAACCACAAAACATCCCTTACAGTAAGCTTCGCTTGTGCTCCTGGGCCGCGGACTTTCGGACGCCTCTCCACTAAACAAACATTTGACTTGACTCTCTCGTGCTCGTTCTACTACAGTATTATTGTCCAACTTTGCCGAGCTCGCTGCCTCTCGGGTATCTTCCAACGTTGCCGCGTCTCTAGAGCTCGCTCTCCCCTCAGTACTGTTAGACTAGTATTACCAGGTGCTTGCACTTGGTCTCTCCCGTCCGGGATGTCACGTGACAAGAATTAAGTTGTACACTTTTCACTTTGTACACTTTTGTTGACGCGACCCAAAAAATAATCTATTTGTAGTTACTGTACATTACAATGTCTTGACCACCTTCCACTTCGACATCTAGTTCTCCTCGCGGATGTTTCTTGATTATACTGCCCCTGACCTTTGCCTTCCATCAGCCCGAGTCCCCACTCACCCTCCGAGATGTGTGGACCGTCCATGAAATCAGGCCTCACCCGTGCCATCACAAGCCTGAGACCGTGGATTCTTGATCGAGCTGTAGCTTTGATTCCG